TCCACACAAACACATTTTCCTTTAATCCACCCAAATGCATTTTCCCTTAATCCACCCAAATACATTTCCCTTTAATCTACGAAAAATAAATAAATTTACAATATACTGAGGAGGTTCTCTTGGGAGAAGTTAATTTTTTTCATAACTTAAATGTATAAGATGGATCATCATAAAAAAAGAAAACATAATTGAGATAGAGGGAAGTCTATTTCAGGCTCCATGAAGTCCAATACATTTAATGTTAAACAACCAACAATCAATCAATCAAGACCAAAGTTACACCTATCACATGTTTCATGCTTTCATGCTGATTATATTGCACGAACCACACTCTTAAGTACAAGTCAAATTTTCTATAAATAATTGATGTGTTTAAGATTTCCGTGTTAATTACATAAATAATAAGTAATAGCTCTCTGTATTGTCGAGATAATCACACAGGATGTTTAACAAGTATAGGATGTGTATTGAATCAACGACAAAATCAACTTAATACTCAGTACATGATGGTAAGTTCATTTGATTTGATATTTAAAAATTCATATGAAATAATTGTTTTTTTAGGCTTTGTATAAAAACTATTAATTGATTATTATTTGCTTCATGTCCAGTGGCCTATATTTCATGCATATTCAAGACATGTAAACATTTTCAACTTTTTAGCCGAAAAATAAACTTTTAGATCAAGTGAAAAATATGGTTTGTATTTGAAAATAGTTTAAATGCTTTGCACTGTTCTGCTCAAACAATATAAAGATATTTGAAAAAATTCTTTCCGATGCTCCTCACAGGGATACAAGGATAACATTTAATAAGTTCTGAACTTTCTTAATTTAAAGATGTCTTTGACATTGGAAGGTTCATGAAAAGCAAAAAATTGACTGTTAGATATAACAATTAGCCAATAACTGTAAAGTTCAATAAACCATCTGAGCTGTATATATATATATATATATATATACCAAATTAGTGAATTGTAGACTGTATGTCACCCTTAAGATGTCTTTTGGTTATTTGTGTGAGGTTGCTGTCTTATTGATGTACCCCATATTTCCTTTTATTCATTCATGTAAACAAAATTAACTTGCAATATATCTTTTAAAATACTTTGTTTATGAGTATGTTTTTTTTGGTTAAAAAGTTACTGAAAAATTAAATGTCTTAACTTTGACTACTGCAAAACTTATCAGAGTTATCTCCCATTGTACATGCAGATTTGTCTTACTATGTTAAGAAATTCTGATTCTTTCTTGGGATTAATAAATATTACTAACCTCAAATTATTTTGAAGAGGCATTTTTCAATATTGTTCTTGAATACTTACTTTTATGTGTTGAAAATAATAATTAGTTTAATTTACGGTTTTGGTATCAAATTCTACTAAGTTGACCTTGTAATGATGCATAGTTGTAATGTCACTCGTATGAAAGGAACTTGAAAATAAAGATTCAGCTTAAGTATTTGTAAGAAAAAGGTCTTTAATACTTATCTTTTCTTTTTTATGAATCTTCTTTCAAACTAAAATAAACTGCTTCGCTGAACGCAGCTGGATACGCCCGCAGAGGTCCAACCCTGAACAGTTGGGGCAAAAATGGTCACAATATTCAAGCTTGATACAGGTCTGAATTTGGATTGTAATTAAATATCTGACATTATAGGTTTCTGAATAAATGTAGTCAAAGAACTTGAAATTGGTTATATGAATAGAAATTATATTCAATTAAAGATTTCTTGCTGTTGTGCAATACTTAGTAAATCTGTTGTCAGACTATAAACAAATAAAGTTAAATTTCTTCTCAATGTCATATTTGAAATTTATGAAAATCAATAGGGAGATTACATCAATAGCTATAATGAGACAACTCTCCACAAAAGACCAAATGATACAGAAATTAACAACTATAGGTCACCGTACGGCCTTCAACAATGAGCAAAGCTCGTAAAACCCCATAACTCAGAAATGTAAGATTTAAAATTTATAAAATTCAAAAGGGAGCTTACATCAACAGATATAAACAATTCACCAAAGTTTCATGAGAACTGCTGAAAGCATTTTTTAGTTATTGTCCGAAAACTGGAAAATCCCCCTTTTTTTATGAATAAAACTCTGTAACTCGGAAACGTAAAATCTAAAATTTATAAAAATCGAAAGGGAGATCATGTCAATAGGTATAAACAATTCGTCAAAATCCCTTGCAAGTTGGTGAAAGCATTCTTGAGTTATTGTCGGAAAACTGGAAAATTCCCCCTTTTTTAGCTCACCTGGCCCGAAGGGCCAAGTGAGCTTTTCTCATCACTTGGCGTCCATCGTCCGTCGTCGTTGTCGTCGTTAACTTTTTACATTTTGAACTTCTTCTAGAGAACCACTGAATGGAATGAAACCAAACATGGCATGAATGTTCCTTATGAGGTGCTGACCGAGTGTTGTTACTTTGAAGCCAATCCATCATCCAAGATGGCCGCCAGCGGGGGCCTTATTTTAACATAGGACCCTATGGGAAATACATACAAATGTCTTCTTTTAGAGAACCACTGAATGCAATGAAACCAAACATGGCATGCATGTTCCTTATGAGGTGCTGACCAAGTGTTGTTACTTTGAACCTGATCCATAATCCAAGATGGCCGCCTGGGGGGACTTAGTTTGACATAGGACCCTATGGGAAATATTTACAAATGTTTTCTTTTAGAGAACCACTGAATGGAATGAAACCAAACATGGCATGCATGTTCCTTATGAGGTGCTGACCAAGTGTTGTTACTTTGAACCCGATCCATAATCCAAGATGGCCGCCTGGGGGGACTTAGTTTAACATAGGACCATATGGGAAATATTTACAAATGTCTTCTTTTAGAGAACCACTGAATGGAATGAAACCAAACATGGCATGAATGTTCCTTATGAGGTGCTGACCAAGTGTTGTTACTTTGAAGCCGATACATCATCCAAGATGGCCGCCAGTGGGGGACTTAGTTTAACATAGGACCCTATGGGAAATACATACAAATGCCTTCTTTTAAAGAACCACTAAATGGAATGAAACCAAAGATGGCATGAATGTTCCTTTTGAGGTGCTGACCAAGTGTTGTTACTTTGAAGCCGATCCATCATCCAAGATGGCCGCCAGCGGGGGACTTAGTTTAACATAGGACCCTATGGGAAATACGATGAATGTCTTCTTTTAGAGAACCACTGAATGGAATGAAACCAAACATGGCATGAAATGTTCCTTATGAAGTGCTGACCAAGTTTTGTTACTTTGAAGCCGATCCATCATCCAAGATGGCCACCAGCTGGGTACAATGTTTAACAAAGGACCCTATGGACAATACATACAAATGTCTTCTTTTAGAGAACCACTGAATGGATTGAAACCAAACATGGCATGAATGTTCCTTATGAGGTGCTGACTAAATGTTGTTACTTTGAAGCTGATCTTTCATCCACGATGGCCGCCAGTGGGGGGAGTTCCTTTAACATAAGACCCTATTGGAAATACATACAAATGCTTCTTCTAGAAGTGCACTGAATATTATGAAACCAAACATGGCATAAATGTTTCTTATGAGGTGCTGATGAAGTGTTGCTACTTTGTTGCTGATTTACTGTTCAAGATGGCCACCAGGATTTTTTTATTAAATTATAGGGCCAATATTAAACCAAATTTGGCCTCACTCATTATTAGGGTATCTGTTATGATTTTAATCTATTTTAACATGATTTCCAAAACCAAAGTAGAATCAGGTGAGCGACACAGGCTCTTGAGAGCCTCTAGTTAATGAATAAAACCCCAAAACTCAGAAACGGTAAATCTGAAATTTATAAAAAACGAAAGGGAGCTCACGTCAATAGATATAAACAATTCACCAAAGTTTCATGCGTATTGGTTAAAGCTTTTTTGAGTTAATTTCCGACATGTTGACGACGGACGGATGGACAATGGTATACCATAATACGACCCATAAACGGGCGTATAATAAAAACTGACTGCCACGAAATATCCAGTAGTAGCTGAAAGTGGCATTTAACACCAATCAATCAATCAACCTTTCAAACTTTTAATATTTATTGAGTTTTATTTAATATTTAAATCTGTTGAATTATGATTGTTTGTCATATGGGGGTGATATTGCCATACCAGTAAATATACCTGTATACACATTCCCTTTGATCTTTATGTTTATAAATCACATTGTCAATATTTTATTACAGATAATAATTTTATTGACTTTTAAATACTTAGTTAACATACTTTGTATTAAAATGTTATAATGTATAGAAATGGATTAAAAGTTACATCTTCATTTAACTAAAATCAATTAGTCACTTGGATATATTAGTGATTTCTCACCTAAGTTAAATCATGTGTTGAAAAGGGGGGGGGGTCTTTATAATATTCTGGCACAGGTAAATCAACTTATAGCTAATCTTGTTGACTTTTTACTTTGATGTATACACATTCTGCCAAAATAATAGGTAAATAAAAGTGAAATAGAAATCAGATAAAATAGCAGTGGAATGGTAGAGTGCTTTCAAGTTCATTTATAATAAACCATTACTATGTAATGAATTTACCATAGCTAGGGACAAGATAGCTTTATTAACTTGTGATGGATTTCATCTGTGTTCATTGCTTTTGATTGTTTGAATTTATTTTTTTTTGGAAATTGTGTGATAATTATGGGAAATGTTACATTGTTGAGAGTGAATGTAGGGAACTTGTTATTTATTTATTAACCATTATGGCAGCTGGAATATCAGGGAAAATTAAACATAAAAAAAGGTAGGCTTATATTAAACATAAAAACAGGTATGCTTATATTGAACATAAAAACATTTAGGCTTATATAAAACATAAAAATAGGTAGGCTTATATTAAAATATTCTAGTTATTTATATTGATTCACAGATTACCCAGGGTAGTAGCAGGAAATATAAAAACATCAAAACCATAAATGTATGACTTCCCCCCCCCCCCCCCCCCACCTGTGGAAGATGTGGCCATGGCTGACCATGGTTGATGATTTGGTATGACTACCCTTGGCTTCCCCTGATAATGACCAGAATTCATTACATCACAGATCTTTGCATGGGGTACCATTTTTCATTAATATATTATTCTCTGAAGAAAATTTTCATATTCAATCTTAAAAAGATCTGACAGTGTGTATTTACCCTAAATAAAAAAATTTAAATAACTATGATGAGGTCATCTTAGAGCTGTACACATGTCAAAACAGTAGATATAAATAGATATTGATATAAATATAGAGACAAGGGTACAAGGAAGTTATAAAGTCAGACATCTTTAAATCTTGAAATGGCGTTTGCAAGTTCAATACAAAAAGGTCAAATTCCAGTTGGATGTCAGTTATGTGAAGGTGGAAATAAGATTCAATGGAAATGTATCACATGTGACTCGCTCATGTGTGACAAATGCAAGGATGGGGTCCATCTAAAGATTGCAAAGGACCATAAAATATTGAACATAAATGACATAGGAAAACAAGAGGTGTCGAAGGACACAATTATATTCAGTGATGTAAAGTGTGACGATCATTCTCAGCAGGCTTGCTGTCTATACTGTAATACTTGTAATAAGTTTATCTGTCCAAAGTGTATCACTAAAGTACATAATGGACATGAGTTAATTGAAGAAGAAGACTATAATAAAGGAAAAGTAGAAATGAAGACAAAACAGAAAAGTGAAATTAAGTTAGAAATATCCAAAGAATATACAGCAGATCTTATCTCTATTCACGATATAGCCGTATGTTCTGATGGTTCTATGTGGATGGCAGATAATCTCAGATCAAAGATAAAACATGTCAAACTTAGGGAGAATAGAACTGTAGTAATAAGAAGTTTAAACACTAAGATTTACGGAATAGCACAAACTCATTCAAATAACATTCTTGTTACAACAACAGGTGAGACTAAACTCCAATTAATCAACACCATGACAGGGGAGATGACAGATTCCAGGTATGATGTAAAACCATTGATACCAACCAGTATCCATGTCACCAGTGATCACAGAGTCATCATAGGAGCCTGGTCTGGAGGTAAGGCATTCCCTGTGACAGGAAGACGTGTAGTGGTGGTGATGGATCAGGAAGGAAAACAACTAAAGGAATATGAACATGATAATCATAACAAACGTTTAATGACCTACCCTGCATGTGTAACCTGTACCAGTAATGGTAATATCTGTGTGGTGGACTGGTTAGATTATGATAGTAAAGGTAGAGTGGTAGTGTTATCACCAGGGGGAGACATTCTAGGGACTTACACAGGTCACCCTGATGTCAACACTAAGGATGAACCATTTATACCTTTAGGAATACTAACAACACCATCAGATAATATCGTTGTTACAGATACAAACAATCATTTATTGCATATACTGAGTGACCAAGGACAAATTATTACCTACTACAATCTCCATGACATGGGGATCTTAGGTTCATTCTCCCTTGCTCTGTCTACATCAGGAACTATCTATATAGGATGTCTTAGTGCAGATGGAAGTCCAGACACTACAAAGAGCAAACTTTATGAGTTAAACTATTCTGGATTCTAAAGACTTCCCTTGCTCTCTCAAATCTAATTTACAACATGTCAAACTTAGGGAGAATAAAACTGAAGTTATAACAAGTTTAAACACTCAGATTGATGGAATGGCAAAAACTCATTCAAATATCATTCTTGTCTTACCAGATCATGGGACTAAACTCGAACTAATCAACGGCATGACAGGGGAGATAACAGATTCCAGGTATGATGTAAAACCATTGATTCCAATCAGTATCCATGTGACCAGTGATCACAGAGTCATCATAGGAGCCAGTTCTCCAGGAGAGACATTCCCTGTGACAGGAAGACGTGTAGTGGTGGTACTGGATCAGGAAGGAAAACAACTCAAGGAATATGAACATGATAATCATAACAAACGTTTAATGACCTACCCTGCATGTGTAACCTGTACCAGTAATGGTAATATCTGTGTGGTGGACTGGTTAGATTATGATACCAAGGGTAGAGTGGTAGTGTTATCACCAGGAGGAGACATTCTAGGGATTTATACTGGTCACCCTGATGTCAACACTAAGAAGAAACCATTTAAACCTCAAGGAATACTAACAACACCATCAGATAATATTGTTGTTACAGATACAAACAATGAGTTACTGCATATACTGACTGAACAAGGACAAAGTATTACCTACTACAACCTCCATGACATGGGAATCTTAGGTCCATACTCCCTTGCTCTGTCTACATCAGGAACTATCTATTTAGGATGTGTTAGTGCAGATGGAAGTCCAAACACTGCAAAGAGCAAACTTTATGAGTTAAACTATTCTGGATTCTAAAGACTTCCCTTGCTCTCTCTACATCAGGAACTATCTATATTGGATGTGTTAATGATAGCATGAGTTTGAATAGGCTGGATTCTAAAGATTTTCCTTGCTCTGTCTTCATCAGAAACTATCTATATTGGATGTGTTAGTGAAGAAGGAACTAAAAAGACCAAACTTTATGAGTTGAACTTAGTTCTGGATTCTAATGATTTCCCTTGTACGTCTAAAGGAACTATCCATATTTAATGTGTTAATGATAGCATGAGTTTGAATAGGCTGGATTCTAATGATTCTAGAATTTGATTTAGAAATTAATCTAACAATGGAATATTTTGAAACAATAGTTAGAATAATATAACAAACATTATTGGAAGAGTAGTAAATTATGTTTTAAACATATATATTCTAATTTTACCAAGACAATACATTGTAGATGATAGACGATCTATACAGATTTCAATGCCTTCAATAATTGTTTTTGTATTATCATTTTTGAAACATTAAATTATATTTTCAATGCTAAGACTAATTCATGATGCTCCAACATTCCCTAAGCATCAAGTTCAAATTTAGTCTTGAGATCTAAACATTTGAAAACTAGTACAGGCTGCAAGATCTTGTTAATAGTAGCCATATTATACAGTGTAGAATACTGACAGAAATTTCTTTTTGAAAGATGACAATATTGATTGAAAAAAATTAATGTGGTTTGAATATGGAGTTCAATCTTTCTTTAATTAAGTGGATTTTTGAAAGAAAAATCGGTTATTGATTTGAGGATGTACGGCAGGCGGGCGAGTGGCTGCCAAACAGTGTCTGTTCATTAACATGAAAACGCTTTGACGAAATCTTTTCAAATTTAGATATGTTGTTTTCTGTGACTAAATGAAGGTCAAGTTCAATTTTCACGATTTTAGCTTTTCTGGTTGTTGAGTTGTAGACCTTTCAGTAGCAAAATTGATTTTTATTATATGAATTTGAGATATTTCCCTTTGAACAGAAATTAATAATTAGTTTCGATGTCATTTGGTCTCTTGTTTATTTTGAGTTATTTCCCTTTGAACATAAATGTAATAAATAAGTATTTCATCAAAAATTGAATTCTTGGGGTTCTTTGATATGCTGATTCTAACAATGTACTTAGATTTTGGATATTGGACCATAATAGGTAAATGTCCAATTTCAAATTTTTCAGTTCTTTGACCACATTCATTTTGCGTCACAAACCTATGCTTTGTCAAATATTCAATCACAATCCAAATTCAGAGCTATTTTAAGCTTAAATGTTGTATAAATAAAGGAGATGTTGGCTATGTTCTTCAATGGGACAGTAATCCAACAACAAAAATAACCCAAGTGTTCATCAAGAACAATGTGATTATATTGACACTGAAAGTGATGTTTAATGTTTAACTTTCAGAGAAATATTTAAAAGACAAATAAATAATCGTCAAATGAATGACTTAAAAGAGCAATAACGTGTTATTTAGTATCATATGACTGTTTGACAAACTTTGCACTTGATTGTGGTATGATAGAAACAGTGTGTACAAGGCTTATCCAGGAATTCACAGAAAAAAAAAAATTAAAAAAAAATATAGGTTTATAATAACTGATGGGCATTTTAATTGCCGACTTAAAACAGTATGGGTTTTGTTCATTGTTGAAGGCAGTTGTAGCTGACTATACAGTATGGGTTTACCGTTTTGTTCATTGTTGAAGGCAGTAACTTAGCTGATTATACAGTATGGGTTTTGATCATTGTTGAAGGCAGTTGTAGCTGACTATACAGTATGGGTTAACCGTTTTGTTCATTGTTGAAGGCAGTAACTTAGCTGATTATACAGTATGGGTTTTGTTCATTGTTGGAGGCAGTTGTAGCTGACTATACAGTATGGGTTTGCTCTTTGTTGAAGGCAGTATGGTGACCTATAATTGCTTACAACTCTGGTGGATTATTGTTTTATCTAGAAATTAGATAGGAAAATTACAGAGACAGTATTAAGTGTAAAAACAGTAAGGTTTGCAAGTCTAAGAGTTGATTCAGGCAGGTTTCTGAAAATATTCATTTAGGAAATCGCTTACCTAGTTATTAAATTTGTGAATGGAAAATTGGGATCAGTATTTTAACATAATTGATCTCTTGTATACAATTTGTCCTTGACTTTTAAACAATGTCAGGAAAATTGTACAAATATCTTGATAAAGGTTTAATTGAACGGGGTATATTATTAAAGGATTTAACTGCATTCAAATGAGGTATTTAAAATTATTAAAGTTTTCTATGGACTACAACAGACTTTTGTTTATATATTGAGTTATCTCCCATTATATACATCAGATAGCAATTCTGTTATATCTCGGTAGATTTCTAAGGACAAATTTACACTATTTTGTAATAAGAATTTATCATGTTGATGTTTAAAAATGTAACCTCTTATTATGTGTTTCCGTTAATATTCTTCTTGTGACCATGAAATTAAAACGAAAAATCAATGTTAAAATATCTATTTTTTAAAGACACAAAGTTTTACTACATATTTATTTTCTGTAGGACAAGAGGTCCATTTATTAGGGCCCCGCCGAATGGCGGCTGGCCTATAGTGATCAGTCTGTCCGTCCGTCCATCCGTAACAAATCGTGTCCGCTCTATATCTAGAGAACCGTTATGATTTCAAAGTTTATACTTGACATGTATATTAACCAACACCAGAGGGTGTGTCATAATGTATGTTCAACTTCCTAGATTAAAGGTCGAGGTCAAAAACTTTGGTTTTAGTTGACAACCCCATGTCCTATGGTAAAGATCATGTCTGCTCTATATCTTGAGAACCGTTATGATTTCAAAGTTTATACTTGATATCATAATGTATGTACAACTTCCTAGGTCAAAGGTCAAGGTCAAAAACTGGTTTTAGTTGACAACCCCATGTCCTATGGTAAAGATCGTGTCCGCTCTATATCTTGAGAACCCGTATGATTTCAAAGTTTATACTTGATATGTATATAAACCAACACCAGAGGGTGTGTCATAATTTATGTACAACTTCCTAGGTCAAAGGTCAAGGTCAAAAACTTTGGTTTCATTTGACAACCCCATGTCCAATGATAAAGATACAAATTTTTTACCACACATTATTCACAGCGGGGCCCACAGAGATCGCTCCCATCTCAATGATATCTAGTTAGTGCTTTTATTATCTGGTTTCTGTCTCATTGCTATATGGCTTTTTATACGACAGTAAAAAAATTTTTGCGTTGTATAATACTATGGTGTTGTCGTCGGCGTCGTTCGAAGACACATTTGGTTTCCCGCCAATAACTTTTGTTTAAGTGAATGGATCTCTAAGAAATTTTACCAGAAGGTTCAATACCACAAAAGGAAGGTTGGGTTTAATTTTGGGGGTTATGGAACTTGTGTGTTAGTGTATTGATCTCTCAGAAATTGTACCACAAGGTTCCATATCACAAAGGGAAGGCTGGGATTAAGTTTGGGGGTAACTGCCCCAATGGTTTAGGAATTAGGGGCAAAAAAGGGGCCAAAAACAAGCGTTTTTTCTAGTTTCCAGACAGTAACTTTTGTAAAGTATATTGATCTCTCTAAAATTGTACTACAAGGTTCCATACCATAAAGAGAAGGCTGGGATTTATTTGGGGGTAATTACTCCAAGGGGGAGGTGGTTATAAAGTTTGGGGGGATTTTTTTTTTTCCAATTTTTTGGGGGGTTCATATTTTTTTCTTCAAAATTTTTGAAATTTCAAATGATTGTACAGCATTGGGCAATAGCAAGAAATCTTCAATTGCACAGTATAGCGCAATAGCAAGAAATCTTCAATTGAAAATAAATACAAATCTTTTAACCAATCTCAATGGGATTAATTTAAAGTCTTTAATTTTTGGGGGTTCTTAACCTTGTATTAATTTTTTGGATATTGGGCCCCATTTTTAAATTGGTCAACATTGAGGTCAAAAGGGTCCAAAATTAAACTTTGTTTGATTTCATCAAAAGTTGAATTATTGTGGCTGTATGATATGCTGAATCTTATTGTGCATTTAGATTTTTTATTTTGGGCTCTGTTTTCAAATTAGTCCATATTAAGGTTTGAAGGGTCTAAAATTAAACTTTGTTTAATTTCAACTAAAATTAATTTTTGGTATTTTTTTATATGCTGAATCTAACCATGTTGTTAGATTTTGGATATCAGACCATTCTAGGTAAATTAAATGTCCCATTTCAAATTTTTAAGATCTTTGACATTTATTTTGTGTCAGAAACCTATATTATGTCAAAAATTTGATCACAATCCAAATTCAGACAGTATCAAGCTTGAATATTGTGTCCAAACTTGCCCCAACTGTTCAGGATTCGACCTCTGCAATCGTACCAGGCTGCGCTCAGCAAAGTATTTTATTCTTATTCAAGTTCTTTTCATTTATTTTGTCTTTTGATTCTGTAATATTACTGAGTATCAAATATAGACTGAATGTTGCCCTCTAGATGTCTACTGGTTATATGTGTTGTTGGGTTGCTGTCTCATTGACATGATTATCCACATCTCCTATTTTTGTGTTGTTGTCTCATTGACATAGTTATCCACAAGTCTTGTCCTTGGGTTGCTGTCTCATTGACATAATTATCCACATCTCATGTCCTTGGATTGCTCTCTCTTTGACATAATTATCCGCATCTCTAGTCCTTAGGTTGCTGTCTCATTGACATAATTATCCACATCTCTTGTCCTTGGGTTGCTGTCTCATTGACATAATTATCCACACCTCTAGTCCTTGGGTTGCTGTCTCATTGACATAATTATCCACATCTCATGTCCTTGGGTTGCTGTCTCATTGAAAAATTATCCACATCTCATGTCCTTGGGTTGGTGTCTCATTGATGACATAATTATCCACAACTCTTGTCTTTGGGTTGCTGTCTCATTATCCTGATTATCCACAACTCTTGTCCTTGGGTTGCTGTCTCATTGACATAATTATCCACATCTCATGTCCTTGGGTTGCTGTTTCTTTGACATAATTATCCACAACTCTAGTCCTTGGGTTGCTGTCTCATTGACATAATTATCCACATCTCATGTCCTTGGGTTGCTGTCTCATTGACATAATTATCCACATCTCATGTCCTTGGGTTGCTGTCTCATTGACATAATTATCCACATCTCATTTCCTTGGGTTGCTGTCTCATTGACATAATTATCCACAACTGTTGTCTTTGGGTTGCTGTCTCATTGGCATAATTATCCACATCTCATGTCCTTGGGTTGCTGTCTCATTGACATAATTATCCACATCTCGTGTCCTTGGGTTGCTGTCTCATTGGCATAATTATCCACAACTCTTGTCTTTGGGTTGCTGTCTCATTGACATAATAATCCACATCTCTTGTCCTTGGGTTGTTGTCTCATTGACATAATCATCCAAATCTCTTGTCCTTGGGTTGCTGTTTCTTTGACATAATTATCCACAACTCTAGTCCTTGGGTTGCTGTCTCATTGACATAATTATCC